ATATCTGGAAATAATAAAGACCAAATTCAGGGCAGTGGTAATCTCTAGGGAAGAAATGAAAAAATAAGTAATTATGCTGACACATGTATCATGACAGGTGCTGCAGGAATGATACTTAATACCAGTGGCTTGGAGAGGGCATCAGTAAGCACTGGGACCCTGGCCTGACAGCTGGTTTAAAAGCCCAGCTCTGCTATGTCCTAAATGTAACTTCTCTATGCCTCAGTTTCCTCATCTATAAAGAAGGGGATAATAACAGAACTTAGCTCTTTCAATTCACACAACAAGAGGTTGTATGGGTTAAAAGAGCTATTACATGTAAAGTAACTGGCAAACCATATCATCTCCATAAATGTTAACTTATTACCTACCATATCTCAGTGAAATAGTTTTGGCTCCAGATGTCCCAGTGTAGGAGGCTCTAACCAGGTGGGATTGCTGGAGCAGACCCTGGGGCTGGTAAGGTGAAGATTAAATATTGCAATTCCTCTCACTCAGAGTATATCATCCACTCTCTTGCAAAATCTCTCTGGCCTCTCGCCACCTGCATTCCTGTGTGGCTTCACTGGGTTGCAGCTGCCTCGGGTGTAACTTCAGATGACTTCAGACTTCCAGGTGCGTGCCGGTGTGGCATGCAGTCCTGGCGACTGCCCCAGCTGGTAGCCATGATGGAAGGTTCAGATCAAACCCCCAGCCCACTGGAGCCAGTCAGGTTTGGGAACTGCCAGTGTTCTCCAGACCTGGCCTTGAGGACTACAGTAAACCCCCCCCACTTCCTCCATCCCTACCTTCCACAGATTTTAGACTTTTAGTGTGCAGTACTATCTATTGCATGCCTTCTATAGCCCAGATGCTGTTCCAAGCAAGTTCTCATTTACATTCTCATTCAAACTTTACAGTACCTTAAGAATTAGAAATATGATTATTCCCATTTTACAAATAAGTAAACCGAGGTTCAGAGAGGGTAAGTGGCCAGCCACGCTCAAGTTTTCTCATTCCAAGCCCTGTGCTCATTCCTTTATGCCATGGCTGGTCCTCAGACAAGCCAAGATAAACATTGCAACAACTTCCAGTCATTGTAGGTATTTTCCTGGAAGAACTTAATATGAAAGAGAAAAATCTGTTAAAGATGCTTTTCTAGCAAAAAGACTTTACCATGCTAGCTTGAATTTTGGTGCTTTTCTTTTTAATGATAGTTTGGAGCAGGGGTCCTCCAAAACTTTTTAAACGGGGCCAGTTCACTGTCCCTCAGACCGTTGGAGAGTGCACACTGTGGGCCCGGGACAAGTCGGCTGCTAAGCAGGACAGGCAGCGGTGGCAAAAACACCCAGGGGGCCAGATAAATGTCCTAGGTGGGCAGCATGTGGCCCTTGGGCCATAGTTTGAGGACGCCTGGTTTGGAGTATCCCCTTTGGTTAAAATGTAGTCCAGCATTTGTATTATACCTTGAGCCCATTTCCAGAAACAAGATTTATAGGGCCAGGGTTTGTATTCCCACATCTTGAGCTTATCCAGGTAACCAAGGATATTGGGAAATTTAGCTTATTAATATTTATAGCTCTTTGTTTCCAGTAGAATTAAGGAACTTTAGAACAGATAAGCTCATGAGGGTCCTTCAGTTCTCTCCTCCTGTTACAAGGATCTGTTAGGACCCTTGAGAATGAATCTTGCATTACTCAAGGAATTCTGCTGTATTTCAGGAAAAGAGCCATTCCTCATTTTCTTTTAGTTACAAGCTTCCATTTCAGTTCTTCCAATACTGAAGTGATTAAAGAGCCTCCATGTATTGCTAATGCTGCCTGCTGGTGCATTCACAGGTGAACTGTGCCTCGGAGCCAATGTGGCATCTGCTTTTGCAAGATCCAAGTGGGCAGGAAGATGATCTATGTGTCCTTTCCTTAGAGACTCCCAGGAAGGAATGACAGCATCCTCTTGACTCAGTTGGACCCCACTACTTAACTTTCTCAAGTTCTAACACTAGTCTAATTCTAAACAATTTTAAACAAGCTCTAACATTTCTCATTTTAAACAAGGAAAGGATGTTAATGTCTATATAGAGAAGCTTCAATGTGACCAGGTATAGTCACTAATGACCAATTATAAAAGCTGAGATGTTTTAGAACAAGCTAAAGTCACAAATGTAAAAGAAATGGTGAGCTGCTCATCCAATGGTCAGAGACCAGCAATATAATATAGTTCCTCTCTCTTCCCTCTGAAAAGAGAACTCAGGAGGCGAAGCTACCAGTCCTGGAGGAGGAACCACACAGGGCAGACTGCAGAGCTGGGCTCAAACTCCCCATTTAGGAGGAAAACAGCCCTTAAAATCATTCTTCTGTGTAAAGTACCTTACTTTTTGTTTGTTTCTAAATTCTGGAACTGGATGTAACTTTTGATGCTTAGCTAGCTTTGGGCTTCAAAGATATTTGATAATAAATAAAAGTTATTTATCTACTCAGGAAGGACTTTTGAGTCGTAAAGAGAAATAAGATGACTTTAAAAAAAATTCCAGACTTACAGGAAATTTTAGACAATTACAGAAAATTATAGAGCAGTAAAGGGCATTATATGTAAAACTGAAGTCTTCATCCCTTTGACTTCTGTTCTTTCCTGGAGATGATCACTACCTTGAATTTGGTGTTCATCATTTCCATATATGTTTTTGTATTTTTACTAAATATATATGTTTCCCTAAGTATAGTATAGTTGTACCTTGCATTTATTTAAACTTCATAGAAATGATAGCATACTCTTCCTATTCTTCAAATTACTTTTCACTGTCAATATAGTCTGCTTTGAGAATTAAACATGTTTGTCCATACTACTCTAGTTTATTAATTTTCACAGTTGTAGAATATTCATTTGTAAAAATATACTATAATTTATTTTTATTTTTCTGTTTGTAAATGTTTATTATTTCTAATTATTAACCAACATCAGTACAAAACAGTACAACATATAGTATTCTTTATTATACATGTCAGTCATCTTTATGCATGCAAAAGTTATACTTTGGTATAAACGTAGAAATGGAATTTCTGGGCTATAGGGTATATATATCTTCAAAGGTATTAAGTATGTCTCCCAAATGGTTGTATCAACTTAGACTTCTAGAAGCAATGTACGAGAGTTCTTCTATGCCAGTGCCTAGTGTCTTCAGATGTTAATTTTTGTCAATCTGCAATCTGAGAGGTGTGAAACAGTTATCACTGTGGGTTCAGCTTGCATTTCTCTTCCCTGGTTCTAATTAATATGAGTGTGGCTCACATATTTATGGGCCATTTAACTTTCATGATCAGTGAAATGCTCATTATCGTTTGTCTAGTTTCCCCCTGGGTAGTTTGTGTTTTTCATACTGATGTGAATGGGTTCTTTCTGTATTATGTATACTAATCCTTTGTGGTTTATACATGTTATGAGTAGCTTCTCCCAGGCTGTTACTTTTATTTATTCTTATGTAGTCTTTCAAGATATATACATTTAAAATTTAAATATATTTATCAAGTCTTTCCCTTTTGGTTGCTCTTTTTGGGTTCTTTTCTATAAAATTCTTTGCTATTCTAGATCTGACAGTTTTAAAGTTTTGCTTTTTACATTTTTTATTTAAACTACCTAGAATTTATCTTTATGTTTGGTATGAGTAAGGGCTAGCTGTATTTCGTTTTATATGGCTAACAGTTGTCTCTGCACCATTTGTTAAACAGTTCATTGCTTTCCCACCAGTATGTGATGACACATCTGATGTGAATTGGGATCCCAGATGTGTATGAATCTGTGTCCTGGCTCTCTCTGCCACTGCATCAGTTCATGTTTCCGTTCATGCACCAAGACCGCATGCACAGTTGATCGTTGTGGTTTTAGAATGGGCTTGATATCTAGTGGGGCCAGTGCTCTGCTCTGTTCTTATCCAAAATTTTCTTGTTATCCTTGAAACCACAGGTCCTGCATAAAAATTTTGGACTCGGCTTGTAAGGTTTCATGAAAAATTCTTTTGGGATGTTGATTTGGAAATGTGTTAATTGAAAAAAGAAGAGTTGCCATCTTGACTACATTGAATCTTGCTACACATAAATGTGATTCAGCTTTCATTTATTTGACTCTTTTAATAAAGTTTAAAAGGTGTCTTATAGTTAGCTTATGGTTAACTTGGTAAATGGTTTTGCTAGTATATAAAATGCAATTGATGTTTGTTTTATATACAGAAACCTTGCTGGATTCTTATTAGTTCCAATAATTTGTAGGTTTTCTTGGATTATCTACATAAATAGTCAGATTATCTGCTAATAATGGCATATTGTATTTCTTTCCCTTCCTTATGCTTTTAATTTTTCTTAGTATACTGGGTAATGGTGAGGGTTATCCTTGTATCATTTCTAACATTAAACTGCTCTTAATGTTTTAGCATTAAGAATGATGCTTACTGTAGTGTTTTTTTAATTCTAAAACTAAGATAAAAACATTCCTAAAATATATTTTACCAATTTATTTATCCAAGAAGACAGCTTGGGTAAAATTCTACTTGAATGCAGTGAAAATATGCCTGTAAGGTAGAGAACATAGGTTTCTTAGTGCAGGAGAAAGATGTGAAAAAACTACAGTAAGCATCTTTTGCTAAATAGCCATTGTCAGGTTAAGAAGTCTTAACATACCTCCATCTTAAAATATGTATGGAATGTATTTATATTTTATGCATATTTCTGAAATACTTTTTGATTATAACACCCATTATCGATGACTGCTTACGTGCCAAGCATGTTGCTTGGTATTTTAGGTACATTACCACCTTTTTGTCCTGACAGCTCTTGCAAGCAGTTTACTTATCCCCATTCACAGACAAAAATTTTGAAACAAGAAGACCTGAGACACTCAATAAGTTTCCTCCAGGCATTGCCTAGGTTGGCAGTTGGCAGACCCTCCATTCCTACCAAGGTCTGACTCATGCCCCCGTCAGCGCTTGTAATCACAGGCCAAGCAACTGAGACGCTAACTCATTGTATCTTCAGGTCATCACTGAGTGGTCTTGTCACGTCATCCTTTAGGCAGCACCAAGAGTCACTGGCTGCAGAGAGAGAGAGGCGGCGGCAGGAGAGAGAAGAAAGGTTGCAGAGAATAGAACGGGAAGAAAGAAACAAATTCAGGTAAGAAGGCTTTTAAGATTTCTTAAAAATAATGAATTAAAGATTAAAGCACATGACTTTTAAAGCTGTATGTAATTAATGCTGGTGTTAAAGTGTTTGTTTGCTGCAAATCCTGTCTGTATCTTTAAGGAAGAGAAAGACATACCTGAAATAGGCTAGATGTGGTTTAGTATGACCTTTCTTTCTCCAGCCATATGGCAGGAAGTGCAGATAGCCAAACACAATTAGGGATTTGTATGTTCTTGGATCTTCTGTTATTTAAAATAGTCTCATCCAGGCCTTCCTGATGACGGGGAGAGCCTAATTGTTTTAACTTAATTTGCCATCTCTCCCTAGTGCACTTCATGTTTTATTCATGTTCTATTGGATGCATAAATGCTTTTTCTACTTTCTGGTTTGCTTTTTGCTTCCTGTAACAATGTTCAACATATTTTTTTAAAGAACAATCTCTCTTCCTATGTGGGGGGAAAGTCATTGTGTTGATTACTCTCAGCCTATTGCTTGCTGGTCTCCTGGTCTCTGTCCAGCTCCAGGGATGTGTGGCTGGGTGTGGCCCATTCCACGTTCCATATCTTGGCCTGTCTGTCCCCACTAAGTCCAGTGTCCCTGGGCTGCTGCTTCAGCCAGTTCACCTGTTCTCTGCACCCTCCAGCTTCACCTCCTTCACACCTGTCCTCTGGGCTTCATCCTGCGGCGTGCTTTATGGATATAAAACACTCGCTGCATCTTGCCTTGCACATTTCATTCCTTCCACTCTTCCTGACCTCCTTTCCACCCCCCTCCCGCTTCTCCTGTATTTCCTCTCCCTTCCTCCTCTTCCTAGTCATCTCCGCTGTAGCCTCTACATACATAGCTTCTCCACGCCCCACTTCCTGTTTCCTGGGGTTCACTTTCTGTCACAAACCATATTCCCATCAGTTACTCCCAGTTAAAACTACAAGGAATGTAAGACATTTTCAGTGAAGATTTACAGATTCAATAACTTAGTTTTTTCCAGAAGCCAAGAAGAGAGTGTGTTTAATTGTAGAAATGATTGAAAAGTGAGTAGAATTGTGAAGTTGCTTAAACTGTAAGTCACTGCTTCATGAAAACAAATACCTCGTGTTTGTGGGTGAAATGCTGATCCTAGCTTTTGTAAGACTGGGTGAATGGGCTGTATGAAGTCAATTATTTGGCATACCCTGAGCTGTCAGATTTCTACTAAACAATACATGGAAATACCACCGTTATATGTACCATTTCTCATAAAGTAGCTCTGCAAGTTGTCAGTTTTGGAAGGATCAATTCTTGAAACCCTGAATTAGGTTAAATGCTTTCTAATTTATGGTTTTCTGAGAGATCTGCATATTTTACTGCCAAATAGCCCTAGGAATCTGACTGAAATATGTGGAAAATTCAGAGATTAGCATACATACAAACGTTTTTGATAGAAAACCTCTAAAACAGGGTACCAGTTCTTGGTAAAATGGAATAATCCTGTTTCCTACTGCAACACTGAATGCAGCCATAAACCATGGGAGGTATGCACAGAATTCTGAACACTGAAATGTAAAAGGGAACAGGTGAATTGGGAAAGGAGACTAAAACTCAAAGTTCTCCCAAACCAGTGAGAATTTATCATTTTTTGCCTCCAATGTCACTTGGAATGTACTCAAAGATACCCCAAATCTAGAAGCACATACCAAATATGGACCAAAAGAGCTCCCCAGAAAGCCCTCTTTTTATGAACTGAGACACAGGAAGGGGAATTGTTAAGGGACAGAGAGTAGAGAAATCCTGTTTTTTCTTTCTCTCCTACCCTAGCCTCCAATCAATATTGCTAAAGAATCACAGTGATGGCAGCAATGTCCAGGCAGGTGCCTAAAACTCTAAGGGAGGGGCACTCTTCCTCTGATCAGAAAAGCTCTGCGACTTAACAAGTAGTGGGCAAATCATAAGCTCTCTGTCTTCTTGCTGCATTGCTCTAGATGCATATGTGGTTACCAAAAGCGTACAGCAGAATAGGGAAAATGAAGCCCAAGCTTTCCAGCTTGAGGACCAGGAAGGGAAACCCAAGATGAGCCAGAAAGTGTTAGGAAAGTCACAAAGAGCAGGGAGATGAAGAGAGCACTCCTGAGCTCATATCGGATTTGTGAGTGTGTGCTTTAGAACCTACACAATATGACATAGACTTTGAGAACTAAGGACAGAGTGGATCACCACCCAGGTCCCAGAAAACTGAGCTAATATTAGAACTAATATCAGAAGACAGGTTACAAGACACAGGCTGAACCGAACCTGGTTGATTGCCTGCTAATACAAAACCAAATCACAAAGTTTAAATGAGACCCAAAATCTCATCACAAAATATGTAAAATGTACAGAGTACAGTCCAAAATAACTTATCATACAAAGAACCAGGAGAATTTTAACTCAGAAACAAAAGAATCAATGCTAACCACAAAAGAACATAGATGTTGTATAATTATCAAAGACTTTAAAGTAGCCATTATAAACATGCATCAAAATGTAAGGAGAAATACTCTTGAAACAAAAAGATAAGTCTCTGAAAATAAATAAAAGATATAAAGAAGAATTGAATGAAAATATATATCTGACTGATTAAATTACCAAACTTAAATTATTCACTTGATTGGCTGGGTTGAATAGTGGCATTGCGATGAGAGAGTCCAGTCACCTGAAGTTAGAACAATAGAAATTTTCCAACCTGAAAACTAAACAACACAAACAAAAATTGAGCAAAGTGAACAGGGCCTTAATGACCCATGTGGTAATATCAAAATGTCTAGCATTCATGTCACTGGAGTCCCAGAAGTATAGGACAATAGGACAAGAGCGCATTGTAATATACCTTCAGCCATTATTTCCTTCATATTGGCAGGGTGAGGATTAGACCAGGATGTCTGTCATCAGAGACATGCTCATAATCAGTTTTTGCTCTTGGTTTCAAATGATTTTCACTTGTCATTTAAGAACACAGGGAGAATCCTGGCAAAATGACCCTTGACCAGGAAGAAATGACAGTCATCAAGACAGACCATGGGCAACTATTAATTATGGTGACTGCAGTTCCATGTTTTTGAGTGTGTGTGTGAAAAGAAATTCAAAAAAAGGAACTAGGAAAAGCTTTACAAAGTAGTCTTTGGGATTACCCAAATGGCTGACCTTTCATCAGCCATTTCATTGATTTAAATTGTTCATGCTCCCTGTGCTTTTTGCAGCACATCTACAATGTATTTCTTATCTGTTGTGATTTTCGTTGAATGTGGTCTTAAGCTTCCTGGGTTATTGGAAATTTTAGGTCTAGTGTGGAAAGTGACGAGGATAGATGTTTATAAATGATGACAAATCTGAGTCCTTGTTGCATCTTTCTCCCCATCCTAATCTGCTTTAGTCCCTCTGATTTAATTGTCCCTTTAATATCCAGTTACCAGTGTACCAAGGGGTAGAATACTTAAGCTACATTATGAGATCCAGTATAGTAAGCAATGATGTCAGGATTCTCCAGGAAAATAAATGGTTCAGTGAGAAGTGACTGACCACATTCCTTTTCTTTTTTTTTTTTTTGAGACAGGGTCTTGACATTGTTGCCCAGGCTAGAGTACAGTGGCGTATTTATAGCTCACTGGGCTCAGGCGATCCTCCTGCCTCAGCCTCTAAGTACCTGGGATTGCAAGTGCATGCCACCACACCTGGCTTTTTTTCTTCTTTTTGGAGACACAGGGTCTCCTTGCTCAGGCCAGTCTTGAACTCCTGACCTCAAGTGATTCTCCCACCTTGAGTACTAGGATTATAGGCATGAGCCATTGTGCCCAGACTGACTGTATAGTCTTAAACGTAGATTCACATTGGAATCTTACCAGCAGGAACAGAAAAACAAAACATTAAAATTGGATCAAGTTGGGCATCTTGTGGGCGTAGTCAAAAGAGAATGCACAAAGCAAGAGATTCCAGTGATCCCAGCATAGAAACTAGGAGTGTGATGGATGTGGAGAAAGGATGTCCAGACTCTGGAGTGCACCATACATGGCCAAGGCACTTGGGCTCACTTAGAGTTAGTTCTTGAGATGGATGTGGTGAAGCTACTAGAGCTTAACTGGATGCCAGTCACCTCCAGAAACTATTGCTTGCTTGGAATTGCCATATTTTATTGGAGTACTTTTTAAAAATTATCTTCCTTCATTCTCCCCTCATGTACTTACATTCTTTCTGAAGAGTAATTAGTAGTGTCCCTGGGCAAATCCAGAGACCCTGTGATTTTATTGAAAACCAGTTGTATTTAGTACTTTTAAAGGATAGTCCTTAAACTCCACTTTTAAAAATTCATCTGCAACCATTTTTCATTTCTGAGGCAATAGTGGGCTTTCATGGTATACTGTTATAATTTCCTGAGAATTTTGTGAGCATCTAATTCTGTTATTCTCCTTTCTTATTTGTTCTGCAAATTTCCATTAGCCGAGAATATTTAGACAAAAGAGAGGAGCAAAGACAAGCAAGAGAAGAAAGGTTTGTATATTTCTTCTTTTCCATTGCACCCAAATGGCATGTGACTTTGCACTGTTAACCAAGCATGCTGGGGAGACTGTCTTCTTCTAATAGCTTCACTTGGGACACTTAAGACCTTGGATAACTGCTATTTTGCTGGCTAGAGTATCCTGGTTATACAAATTTTCAAGCAAAGTTCAGATTTATTATTTAGTGCCTTTGTGGTGAAATGGATGTGTCTGGTCCTCCCAAACCCTTCTCCAAATGAGCACATTAGTATTGGCATATTGACATATGGTGTGTATTTGTACTTGCAGCACCACTAACAAGCCTGGGTTAGGGGTCCCTACTGTGTGCTTTTGTGCCACTTGGTCAGCATTCCTTCAACAAACTGAGCATACACACTGTGCCGAGCACTGGCTAGGGTGCCAAACGTGCATGAGATTCTCTCTGGTTGTGCCTGATCACTTACTTGTCTCCCTACTGAACAACACTCAGTTCCTGGAGGGCAGGAACCATGCCTGGTTGTCCCTTAGTTTCCCTAGTTCCTACCACAGTGCTTGGCACTTAGGAATGGTACGTGGGATACATGAGCAAATGAATGAGTAGCTTGGTTTAAAAGATTAAAGCTGTAAACTAGTTTGTTGATTTCAGTGAAAACGTGCTTTTAATCCCAACAAAGATACAGAGCTAATCTAGTCAGTGTCCCACGAATGTAGATAAGCAAAGGGAGCTGCTTTTGCAAGTATGCTGACAGGAGACAAGTTTTTAGCCATCACTACACAGCCTGCAGTTGTCCCCTCCACCACCAGGTGGGGTGGCTGCAAAGAGGTGGAAAGGCTGATTTTATACGTTTTATACCACAGCCAGCTGGGGACCTAACAATTTCTGGACTGTGACAATAAGTGGAATTGTGCTAATTTTTCAAATACCAGCTATAACTAGGTTAGGACAGTCTGAGATAGGGAAGAGTGGAGACTTCCTGTGTTCAATTAAAAAAATTAGATGCTTAGATCAGTTTCATAAAACCATAAGATTGCTTTAACTGTAACATTCTACTAGATTATTGTCATCCCAGTTATGACTAGCAAAGTTAGAGTGAAAGATGCTGGTAAAGACACAAGAACTAACTAGTACCTGTTTTTGACATCAGAGGGCATAGCATATACTTACGGTGAAAATGCTGTTGACTTTCTGTTCAGGCAGAAGGAATTAGATTTATATTTTTTTAGTTCTTCCTCCAGAGTCTGCCCTTCCTTGAGCTTTTGACAACTAGCCTGTCGGGTTATGTCTGCACAGGCAAAGGATGGCAGCTCCCGGGGAGGTGTTTGGGTGCCGTGTCAAGGCGTGAACTGGCCCGGACTGACTTTGACATCTTCCCAAACCACTGAAGTCCAGCTCTTTCTGAATATTATTTACTGCTCGTTTTTCCAAACAGGGCTTTACTTATGTCTGGGAAACTCGTGCAGAGGAGGTTGCCACTCCCCGCCTCCCTCCTCTGGTTCTACCCTTAGTCCTTACCCTTGGGCTGCCCCTAGGCCTGGGTGCAGGAGCAGGCCCTCCAGCCCCCAGGGATTCTCCCCTGCCTCTCTGTTTACCCGCAGGTCTGGGGAAGCAGCCCAGCATTTCCCTTTGGTTTGGACTAGCCAGTTTTCTTACTGAATTACTTGGTAAAGATGGAAGTGCAAGACACAGACTTTTATCCCTGTTTGGAAAGCTACGGGGGTGTCCTGTGTAAGCCAGGAAAAGATAAGATTTCCAAATATAATGAAATTTGGAAATGAATGGAGAAACTAATGGGGATCAGAGAAAGGGGTCTAGAAATAAGGAAGAGGACTCCATCTGTTAACTCTTCAAGATAGAGCCCAGTGTGATCGTTGAGTCCCATGTCTCTTATGCTTAACACAAAGAATCAGAATAAGACAGCCAGAGTCAAAGCAGATGGTTTTTGAGTTTTTGTATCATGTAAGTGTAATAAGATGAATGTCCTTTTATTCTGAGGTGTGGTGGCCATCCAGATACGTGTTATTTCTTATCATTGCACTCCAAAATGTCAGGCAAACTGTGTTGTTGACAGCGGTGTAGACCAGGAATAAGTTTCTGTTGAGATGCTGCTTCTGATTTTTTTAAATACCAGAAGAAAGGCTTTATATGATACTGACTGATTAAAGTGACATTCACAGATAATTTAAAGGAAATAAAAAGGAAGTGGGAAATAAAAAGGAATGAGAGCCAGGCTGGTGATGTGTTGGGGAAGTGGCAGGGGAGGATCAGTTGAGTTTGGGTTTGTTAGTCTTGGGGGGATGGCAGGACGTGGAGTAAATACCTTCCGGCACAAGGGCTATGGGAGCAGAGTGCAAGGGAAAGGTTGGGACTGGGCTAGGATTTTGGAAATTATGCATGAAAGTGATCAATGAAGCAGTGAGAAAGGATTCTGAGCATTGCTTAAAAGGACTGAGGACAGGGTAGAAGTTAGTGGGGCCCGATTTTGGTTTAATGTAAAGAAGAATTTCACAGTACAAGAGTGGCAGCAGAAGTCATCAGTTAGTAGGTTTAGGTTAATGTCAAGGCACGCAGGGCTTCTGTAGGGCCCCCGGAAAACAGACTGAGCCGCAGTAGCAGCCCTGCCGCCGTGCCCTGGTGGGCGTTGGAGTTGATCTCTGTAGTTTATTTGCCTCTCTCTCCCCCACAGAACTCTGAGCTCTGTGAGGATGGGTTTTTTCATGTTTGTTATTAAATCTCTAGTGCCTACTACAATTCTTAGCACATGATAGGCACTTGACAAATGTTCAATAAATAAATGAAAAGATGAATGAATAAACAAATGATATGGGCAGAGGCCAGTAGGATGAATGAGAATGTTTAGATGAAGAAGCAAAAGTAGAAAGTCTTTTCTTGGTGCTGTGGGGTGTGGATAGAAAGCCCAGTGCTGTCTCTAGGGGAAGCTCTATCAGAGTCCGTTGGCTGGGTGTGGCCTCATGTGACAGCAGGGATGTGTGACAGTTATTACATGAGCCATTGGGCTCCCCGGATCAAGTACTGTTGGGCTATGGCACTTAGAGTCACTGTGTGAGAGAAGGTCATGACATGGGTCCAGCTTCCTCCCCAGGGACTGCTGGATGTTCTGTGAGGCCAGGGACAGCTGTGCTGCAGCATCGTAAATGCCAGGCAGTGTGGCTCTCCTGTGCCTAGGAAGTCCACTGTCCTTGTCACTCTTGCTGTTGCAGACGAGCACTGCTGCTGCTTTTGCAGAAAGGTTCAGTGCTTTTAACCTTCATGCCTCTCTGCCCCTGCCATTTAAAAAAACATTGTGATCAAATGCACATACTATAAAATTGACCATCTTAACTATGTTATGTGTACAGATCAGTAGTATTAAGTGCATTCACATTACTGTACAATTAGTCTTCAGAACTCTTATCATCTTACAAAACTGAAATTCTATACCCTTTAACCTAGCAGTCCCCAGCGTTTTTGGCAGCATATAGACTGTCATGGAAGCCACTTTTTACATGGATGGGGGATGGTGGGCGTTGCTGCCTCAGTTCCTCCTCAGATCATCAGGCCTTGGATTCTCATGGGGAGCCCTTGCATGCACAGTTTGCAGTGGGGTTCGGGCTCCTATGAGGGTCTGAGGCCACCACTGAGCTGACGTGGGAGGGGCTTGGGCGGTGATGTGAGCTATGGGGAGCAGCTACAGGTGCAGGCAGGGCTTCGATTGCTTGCCCGGTGCCTCCTGCTGTGGTGGGGGTGGGGATCACAGCATTAAATAACTCCCTCTCTCCCCACCCCCACCTCTACCATTTTTGTCTGCCACATAGACATCACATTCCTTGGAGCAATTTGGAATTGTCCCGTGTCTCATGGACCCTCTGTGACAGCATCCATGGGACCAAGGGGTACACAGGCATAGTCTTTGAGTTGCACCTACCCAGAATCTGGGATCAGTGGCTCCTGGAGTCCTTCAGAAAGTTGGGGGAGCCATTGGCCGCCAGCACATGCCTGCCCAGGCTGCCCACAGAAAGGGGCGTGGGAGGCCAGGACTGGGCCAGTGAAAATGAAGGCCATAGTGGGTTGTCTTCCTGGCTGGAAGCTTTCCTACGAGGCCTCATTGCCATCCTCCCTGGACTCTTCTGAGCTCCTGCTCTGCGATTCTCATCTCCTCCTGATGTCCAAGGCCTGTCCAGGGTCCCCTCTTTACACCCATGCCTTGCCCACCACTCTCTCTTGTCGCAGGAGTCTTGGCCTCAGGGCCAGAATGCCTGCGCTCACGACTCCTCTTGGGCTTGCAGCACCCCAGCCTTTTGTGCCACCGTCCCCTTTAAGACACACCGCCTGGGGGCCTGCTGCTTGCCCTCAAGATCATTTTCTCCCCAAGGTTCTTGTTACTTCCACAGCCTGGTTTGTTTTCCTCGCTGGCCTAAATTAAGTTGAGGAACACTTTCCTTTTGTTGCCTCTTTTACCTTTTGAGAGGCGATGCCGTTGGCAAGGGAAGTCCAGAGTTTCTGCGTCTTTCTGTCTAGGTCTGGGTTTATCCTGTACCTGTGAGGCAGCTGCTCTCAGCAGCAAGCCTCAGGTGTTTGTATAGATGCATATATACCTGTTGCACGTCCTTTATCAGAGAGTCACCTGAAAGCAAGCTCAGCCCCCATCAAAATGAAATAGGGTGCATTTGCCCCCTGAGCATCCCGGGCTGCAGGTGGGCTCCCGCAGGTGGGCGCTGCTCCCCGTGCGCAGTTTTCTCCCTGTGCACGTTGCCTGCTTCCCGTCAGCCCACACGTGCGAGGCACCCCGGGAAAGAACAAAGGATGGTAATCGTCCTGTTCGCAGAAATCCCATTATCTGCTTGTTGAAAACAGACATGCACATGTGAAAAGATGACTAAATATGCCAGGCAGTAAATGTAAAATGCCATGTGAGTTGAATGGACTACATATCCGACATGAGTTCAGAGGCAAGGCCGAGATCACTTCCAGCTGCGGTGGTCGAGGCAGGCTTCGAGGAGGGAGAGGCCCACGCGAGCGTGGCCCGATGGGGGACTGCCTTCCGGCTGGCCGGGGAAGGGGTGAGGATTCCAGATGGGGGAACCACACCCACCTTGAGGCTGGGATGGGGAAAGGCATGCTTTTTTCAGCGCATTGTTTTTAAAGATGTTAAATATGTGTTGTGCCTTTCCTATCCGGGGGAATCAGGAGTATCTTGCCTGGTGCCCGAAGTGAGGAACTGACACGGTGAATCGGATGGTTGTGAAGTGAGGGTCTTGAGCAAGCTGTTGCACGGTTCAGTGGTGGATATGATAGTAAGAAACCTGCTCCAGCTGAATTCATGCATTTATTTCTGAACAAATAATAGTGGGTAAAATTAGACATCTGGAAGAGGCACACATTTCAAAGTTATTTTGGTCTGATCTATAAAGCACACTATGAGGAATATGATTGGTAGCTGGTCTTAATAAACAGTTAGTGGGTTCTGCCTGCCTGAAATGCAAAACAGATGTATCTTTGTTCTTTTAAACTGACTTTGATGAATAAACTATATGTGACGTCAGGTCCAAGCTATTGGATGTCTGAGTCCTACTCAGAAATATTTTAGAGTATAAAAAAGTTTCCATGGTCGGCACTGAGAGAACAAAGTGAATTCCAGTTGCATTGCTGTTAGCATTGAAGCAGGTTCAGAAATTCAGAAAGGCAGGCCTTCATCCAAGCAACCCCTTTTGGTATTTTGGGGGCCTTTTTTTTCCTCTCTGCCACACCAAGGGACCCACCCATTTCACAGCTGCAAGCTCTTGGGTGGGTTTGCTTTTCAGCTGTCACTCCTGGGGCTTTTTGGTGGTCGCTATTGCTGGTTTGCTTTTTTTGTACAAATGTTTCCAAAAAGAGCAAAATAGGATTCTGCAGCAGTGCTCCAGTGTCTGGGGACCGTGTGATGTTGCCACTTTCCCCAGTTCGTTTGGTTATGAGTGACGCGGGGTTTTTAATCATTAGCATCTTGGCTTTGCTGGGTGGTGTTGGCAGCCTGACCCTCCAGTCGGGCCTGCGCTCTGCTCTGTGCATCAGGAAACCAGCTCACTCTGCAGGTGTTTCGTCCATAAACAAGCATCAGCCACGGACTCCTCTTTCTTTTGACGGAAACCCTTTGGAATTTGACTTTCAGATACAAATACTTGGAACAGTTGGCAGCTGAGGCGCACGAGAAGGAGCAGAGAAGCCGGGGCAGAGCCGACCTCTCCTTGGACCTGACCTCACCGGCAGCTCCCGCCTCCCCCGCCCCTCGGAGCCACAGCCCTTCATCTTTAGACTCACAAGAGGCTCTTACGGTATCATCCTCCTCCCCAGGACCACCTCAGCATCCCCCAGGTGAGTGCAGGGGAAAAGGGGAGAACCGATGGGTTAAAGTCAGGCTGCTTCTGGGCAGCCGTAAGGATTCCAAACTGCAGGCTAACACTGAAATAGCAATGACAGGCAAAAAGGAGGAGGCTGCAACCTGCACGGTCACTAACAACCTAGACATCTTCAGAGCCACTTACAGTAAAGCAAAAGTATTCCTAAAGATCATTAGTATATCATCATTGACAAGGAAGAGTATAGAAAATAAGACTGACTTTGACATTGAACCCTCAATACCAGAGTATTCACTTCATAATTTGGATATGTGGCTCTCCCCACCAAACTGACCACTTTTGAATGTTCTTACCCTAGGAACTGTTGGTCTGGTTTAAATTAAACTGAAAGAGAATAAAGGTAATTAAAGCAAGCAAATAAAAATGTGGCTCTACTGGAAATAGAAGTTAAATGTCAAAGAAGGAAAAAAAATGAAAATTGTAAAAATTACTGGCGTGCGGTTGGGGGTGTGTGTATGTCTGTGTGCATGCTTGTGTACAGACAGGCTCTCCCTGGAGAAATTCTGTCGTCTTGGCTCTATTTGGAGAAAGACAATGATATTGTTCACTGCAGTTTTGAGCATCAGCCGTTTTCCTGACTGTTCTGCACATCGGGGGTCTGTCTTCTTGCACAGTAACACAGAGGATGGATATCAGGCACAGACTTTACACGGCGCATGTTGATTAACACCGCTGCCAGCACTGTTTGTTTTAGTCGAGTGTTATGGCTTAACGCCTGATGTAGACTTAGCCAACTGAAGACAGCAGAGACACTAGACTTTTAACTCTAGGAGGGTTTGACTAAATATGGCGTAAAGTTTAATGTAAACAAGCCAGGACTCCATGACCTCAGCAGAACTGGATGCGATGGAATGATATTGTCTGTCCGGTTCTTTGCTGGCATTCTGAGCCCCAGCTCATCCTGCAGGAGCAGGCTGGCTGCACCATGGCTTTCCGTGACGTCCAGTGACTCCTGGTCCCGGAGCCCGGGAAGACTGTCCCAGGCAGATGGCTCAGTCACAGATGAGTAATGTCGGCTTTAAAATATTGAGACTCTGAGAATCAGGAAAACAGACTGTTCTATAAAAGCCATGTGCTGTGCTTCTCCAACTCTGCCTCCTATCATTGCTGTATCTATGTTGTGGTATTTCCGGAGGCAATATGAAAAATATCCTCCTGCAAAGTTGTAGCTCAGCACTGAACCTTGGGACTTTTAACCCCAGAAATTGTATTTTAATACTTTTAGCAGCTTACAGAATAATTGTCTAAACTGTGAAATACAGAACAGCCCCAAGCTGAGAGGGGATTGTCAGGGTCTATAAATACTGTTTGTCCTCAAATTTTAATCCACATGACATTTGTGACAAAAGATAGTTCCTTGAGTATTTAGTCCAATTACAGTTGAATTTGAGGCCATCCAATTAAAAATACAGAATATTTTAAACTTCAAGAAGAACACAGGAAAGAGTCATTTTATGTATATACAGTATGGATGTGGGGAAGGTTTCTCTTTATGTCTGTATGCTTTCACAAAGATAATGGCAAGTGCCATTTTCCTCTTCAGGGAAGGGATTAATAGAGACTGAGAGAATTTTTGACTAAAATCACATAGTAGGTGGTATGTGCATCTGAAAAAGAGATATTGAACTTAGAGTTATACATAATTACAAATTAATAAAATAGCATTGTATGATAGTATTTGCTTTTTTCCTGGGGAAAAAATGAAAGGCACTGCTCCTGTGGGATCCAGAAGAGCTGTCCATCATATGTTAAGTCTTATAATTGTTGTCCCAATCAGTGGGAACCAGCAAGGTATTATCGCTTCCTTGTCCTAATGTGTAACTGATCTATAAAATTAGAAATTAGAAGCATATAAAAAGAAAGACTATAAGAGAGTAGTCTCAAAAAGAACTGCTGGGGCTTCCTTCTGCTTTGGAGACTTTTGCCCTTGTGACAGAAATGCAAAACTGGTGTGACAGAAAGGCTTTTCTCATCCCAGTTTGTTACTACTCTTTGAAACATTCTGCTAGCACCCAGTTAATAGTGTTCTCTTTTGACCAGGTCCCATTTTCCAATGTTCAAAGTGACTTTTTGCTTATCCCTGACATTTCTAATATCCCAACATCTGGTGGAAGAATAAAAATATAATCACACATCCAGATGTTTGTCCTGTACCAAACACCTGGCATTATGTGGTCCAAATGTGCCAGGCACTGACTTGCTTTTTCAGTCTTCCTCCTTGTGTGATCAAATGATCATAATACACTTTACATTTCTGCAGTGCTTGGCCCCTTGCTCCCAAATGCTGCTATTTAATAACTAGCCATATACCTGGGTGAGTAGGGGAGATGTTATTATCTATATTTTACTGAGGCCCAAATATATTGGAAGATTTGCTTCAGATCTTGCTGAGTTAGTGCTAGGAGTAGAACCCAATGTTTCCACTCCCATCCTGGCCATGTATCCCAGGGTTGTGGTTCCCTAGTATTTTTGGTGGTGGTCACATTAATGCCCCACCATTCCTTTGCTAACTCTCTCCCCGGTGTCTACAAAAATTGTGTTCTACCTTTCAGAATTCAAGAAAAGGAAAAACTAGTAATTGTTATTAAATCATATATACCTCAGGATTAAAGGTCTTTTTATGGATTTGTTAGATTCTGGAAATTTGAAACTTCTTTTCCCGTCCCCTTACAAAATACATTTTCAGAAAAGGAAGGGCTAATGGTAAAATACTAATAGCAATATGTGCCATGTAGTGAAATCTTTCAGCCCGAACCTTTCCCAGCTCAGTTTGCTGTAACTTCTGTATAAATGATGCCACTGACCTCACCATCAAATCCATGTGTGCTTGTATTATTTTTCCATGTGGCCTTCTTGTGGCTCAGCAGGTGTGTGTCCCAATGCTGCCTGGACTTTTAGTCGTTGTGGTCTGAGTATTTTCCTTCTTTGTAAAACGACCATGCCCAAGCGAGGGCAAGACACGCACGTGTGTTCTCATTTGCACCGTGTTGTTGTAATTAATAGAGATGATCAGCCCAAAGTTCAGGTAAACCTGGAAGCACATCATTTGACATCCATTACTTTGCTATCTTTTCCTTATTTTCACTGAGCCCTGGGGGTGCATCGGAAATATCTACCTAATAAGCTTATTTCTTATTATTTTAAGAAACTCACAGATGACTCTGAAAACAAAGAAGTTATTCTCACTAATCAGAAAAGGCAGTGTTCTTATTGGGATGGAGTTCTTCAATAATGATTCTTAAGAAAGTAGCTCTGGGGATTAAAAAAATAATAGTCTGCGTGCCTATAAGTGAAGTCATTATAGCCAGATAACCTCTTATCCCCATATGCATCAGATCCAGGTAACCCATTTCATGGAAATGAAGTAGAGAAAAACTGCTCACCTGCAAACCATATGTTGATGGTCCCTCCAGTGTATCCCAGGGTGGAACTGCCTTCCCTGGAGAGCCAGAACTGTTCTCCTTCCTTACTGCATTCCTCATCCAGGAGTCCCTCCTGAGGCCGTGTAGAGAGAAATGATCTTTTCCAGTGGAAGGAAGCTGCTGTCAAGTATCTTTTACCCACTGACTTAGCCATGAAAGCAAACATAATGGCTAGATTATCTTTTATTAGTATTGGCTTGGTACTTTCTGTATTGCACGCAGAAATACTACTTTAGAGATGCATTTGAAATTATTGCCACGGTATATTATTTTTATATCAGGGAAAAAATACATTCAACAGGGATTTTTTTCCCCACCTGTAAATGGATTGCTTGGTATTTCCAAATGTCTCATTGTTTGGCCCTGGAGCTACAAAATATGGCCCAGATACCCATGGCCTGCTCACTAGCATTTACCTGGCAGCATTTACAGAAATATGAACAATAGGATACTGATATTTCCTCCCACAGATCCAAGCATTTAAAGTGCTAGAAACTATCAAAATTCTTCTACCCTCCTTATATTCAAGCTTGCGAATAATGTGTAGATGTATAGTTATATCATAAATGTTCAGTTTATTTAAATGCATGATCATTTTTCATGCAAGGATCCATTTATCATTTCGGCTGTCATCATCGTTACCAGTGACTGAGCATCTCTGTCACCTTTGTTGTGTAACACGTATGTTTGGAGTCTCCTTCAGGTATAGGCACTCTCCTACGTTACCTAATCCACATGGCAGAAATCAGAAACATCTGGTATCCTATTTCCAGCTGGCATGGTAGCAAGTGGAATATCATCAATCATCAGCCTAACGCTGCACGCTGGTTCTCTTGCATAAAGCTTTTGGACGCCTTCAGTCCAGTGTTTCATGAATTGGCAGGAGACTAGATTCCTTGTGGTTCTGTGACTCAGGGGTGCCCTGCCCTCCCACCCCTCACCTTCCCACCTTCCCTGACTGCTGCTACTTGATGCTATGTAGTCAGTTGGACAAAAATCTCTTATAAACTCCACCCAAGACCGAGGCCCTACTTGCTACACCTGCTGTGGGATTTTACTAAGAGCCTTGACAAATCACTGGATTTTTAGGTCTTGTCATGTTTCAGTATCTAAAAATGGAAAAAGGCAAATATTTCCCTTTTTCTCCCTGTAGAACCAACAGTTGTCCATAGCGTATTTTCTGGTACCATATTTTGAAACATTAAACAGTCTCATGTCCTTCTGAAGTAGACAAAGTGTAAACCTTAAGTAAAGAGAAGGCACAGAATGGCAGTGGGAATGTTGGTAAAGGGGGCATTATCTGATTGATATGATTTCCTAGGCAGCTATTAGGTGTCAAGAACTGTGAAGGGACTGGACTGAGACTTACCTTACCTATAAAGCTAGTACATTTGCCTGCCACAACTTCAGAGATGCTGGCAGAAGACACACAATTCCTGGGTCAGAGCTAAAGGACATTATTACTTGTAGCAATACTAGTAGCCAGAGTATCAGCGTTTGTGCCATTTCCCCAAGCCCCTCATCCCACAGGGTG